GAAAAAGTGGCCTAATTGAATATTTATACTGTATATTATTTACATTACATTAACATTCATAATTATGTATGTGAAACCAATTGGATTTCAGATAACCTCTTGGATTACTAGCTGTACGCTGCAAAGACATCTGACACTGGGAATCTCGCAAAAGCAAATTATCTTTAATGGACACTGACAAGAAACCCTTTCCTTCGCATGCTACCTTGAGTTACAATGGTGTTATCCAACTATCTGTCTGCACAAGTGATATGAACTGTTTGGATAAAGCAGAGGTTATAAAATCTATCATTTTTACCACCCACATCCCCTTATTTCTTGGAGGTCGACAGACAGTCCATCATCAGCTCACGTCAACAGCACTCTTCAAACCGTATAGTGTCACCTAAAGGCTACAAGCTCCAGTATGCTTTATGTCAGTAGTTTAGTACTAGTAATACGCATTGATTTTCACTTAGTCTTTGACAGAAATCTTTAGATAGAGACATCACTCAGAAATTTCCAAAGATTCTAGACAATTCAATGCATGAACCCACAAAGCCACAAATTACTAAGATATGGGATCATCTTACTTTTTAGGATCTCCAGTTTGCATTCACTTATGATAAAACTCACTCGTCTTAACAACACAACATCATTATATAATCAAATCGACAAATTCAAACAGATGCAAGGGCTTCAATCTCAATCTAAACTACTTCTATTAGAATTAAAAGGAAAAGGAATAAGCAATTCCAATTCAATCTTTTGGAGGAGATAAATTTGTCAGTCTGAAAAAATAGTATTATTATGTTTCTGTATTAAACTAACAACATCCTGGAGGTAAACAAATTGACTTGTCTAAACTGATTCAACAAGATATTACAACATCACCCACTGGGTTTGGGTTCGTGCGCTTGCACGTGCCTCAAAAGAGGGCTTACAATGACTTACAAAGATACATAACAGCTACAAGTGTATGCACTACTTGCTTTATGCAAGCGCTATATAGGATAAATCACTATACAGGATTTACCCTATTATACTTTATCGACACGAATTGATAGGTGAAACAACAAACAGCCACCCACAAATAGTCTAGAAACAAAGCATCAGGCTGTCTTTGAGTTCACATGAACAATGGTTAAAGTTACTCTTCGTCAGGCTACAGAAGAATACCATAATTCCTCCGTTCAATTAGGCCTAAGACATCGAGAGTCACGCAGACCTATAACACCCCAGCCACAACACATAATTGCGAATAACATGCCTTACCTTAACACAGAATCGACCACAGAGTCCAACGTTTATATTTTTTCTACGAATCTTAACGAGTTAACATGTACTAAACATGAGTGGAATTTGCACCGCAGCGCCCCCACACCTTGATGCTCATGACAAGAATAGCATGTATAGTTATCGTTATTGAAGTGAATTAGGTTTAAATCGCTGTCATGCATGAATGAATGATATTTTTGCAATTTTACACATAATAATCTACGATGATCACATTACACAAAACTGAAATTGCACATCAAAATAACACATTGTCAATATTTTTTGAGACCCCCCAAAATTTCACAAATCACGTTTTCAGGGGAGCCCATGTCTTATTAAGGGGAGCCGAGCTCCCCCTAGCTCCCCCGTAGTTCGCACCCTGATAATGCATGTTTTTATTGTTGTATTCTAAATACTTCTTAATCATCATTGTGCCAGAAATAAAGAATAAACAATTACTGGGCATATGCATTGCAAGTTTGCAACGGTAACTAAAGGTCAACAGCAGTCAATCTCTCCTAAATGTTTGAATGTTCACCTTTCATGGTGTCACTGAAATATTTGCATTCTGAATTACAATTAGTCTTTTTTTCTTGCATTTATTTGCATACTGAATTGTGACTGATCTTGTCTTTCATCGAGGTTACCATCTACATTTGTCCTTATGTGGACAGAAAACAGGACATGCTGAGTGTCAGGACGAGGCGGCATGACGCAGCATTTAAAACTTAAGTCGACCAAAAACTTTAACGCTATTATTTTTCTGCCTTGTACAGCATTTGCTTCAGGAAAGCAAAGCTATAGCTGCTATTGTTGTTTCTGTAATAAATTAATTCCACAGAATTTTTCACAAGGTCCAACAGCAAAGATGGTGCTATAAGAAGTACAGCAGGTGCGATTTTGCAGCAACACAGAATTGTAAGAATGTCTCTGTCCTAAAAGTGGTTCTGATCACAAAAGGTTTCGCTGTTGTATCCTAGGCCTGCAGGAAACATTCACTCTCCCTCTTCCAATCACTCTCGCCACGCAGTGTACACTCTACATCCTTGGCCTTGATTGCCCTTGCTGAAAATACTTGCTGCCTGAAGCCCTCAACACAAAAACGTGTCCTTGTCCCAAACTATTCGAGTTTATTTGGCTAGCATATGTAATCCAGCGCACCTCAGCGCTAGATGTTTGAGCGTGTTTTATGTTCCAAAACTAACAGAGTTCAACCTTTTGGTATATAAAAATACATCTTGGAAAATTTTAATCATGTCTTCATAATTTATTTTTGCTAATTTGACAATGCCTTGTGTGTTTAGAGTTCATCGTGTCCCATTGATCAGGACTTTTAATATTAGAAAATCAAAATCTATGATAAAAAGTAATAATATGGACAGTATCTCTGTTGCTTCATCCTCATCTTACATGAACAAAATATAAACAATCATGACAGACCATCATGACGCAACTCAGAAACGCCTCAAAATTGTTGTAATACACAAAATCTTCATTTAGGCTGCGTTCACACATCAGATTTTCTTTTCTGTCAAGTTGTTTACATTACTTTTTTAAAGTGACCTATATCAGACACTGAACTTCACAACCCATGCTTTGTCAAACACTCTACAATGGCATGATCTTCTTAAAATCATCAACCAATGTCAATGAATATAAAGTATTTTGTTATTATATAAAATTAGAGGACCTTTTCTAGTCTACTTTATCTATTGCCATTAACATTTTAACTTCAAAGTGTAACATTTGACAATGTAACAATGTAATTTAATCAATAGGCTAAATAGTTAAATCTAACATCTTTGTGCACTTTCTGTGTACTTCTTCATAGTACTGCAAGCACACAATATCAAAATCGACTGATGTAAAAATGGCATGAAGCCGCATTGCACAAAAAATCTGATTTAGCAAATGTATTCCATTTATGAACAGCAATTTTACATGCATGAGGCTGATTTTGAAAAGACAGCACTCAGGTTTACTCTATTTCCCTTCTACGTTAAAAAATACATGCATTATCCCTTGCTCATAGATTCTGCTCAATTACCGTTCAGCTCATCCATCTTTGCCCTCTCATCCATTTATTTCTCGTCTATAGCCAGGCCTAAAGCATACAACAGCACTGAACTTTTAGCCTTGGCCAGCAGCTAGACTGAACAGTCAATACTCCTCCTCCTCCTCCTCTTTAAACAGACGGACCACAGAATAATGCTAGCCACATGCGGGGAAAGCAGAGGGGGTGAAGGGTGTTAAAGAAAGAGAGCGGGGGAAGAAACAGGAGGGAGCGGGGAGGATGAATAGAGGATGAAAGAGTGTGATAGAAGAGTAAGAGAGAGAGATGGAGAAGGTGAGAGAGTAAGATCGAGAGCAAGAGGAATGGGGGAAGCAGATAAGAGACGCTGAGGGGACAGAAGGGAGGGTGGAACACGGGCGATAACAGGGTGGAAGAACCAGACCATTGGACAAACTGTTCGTACGTCCCACTTACAGGCTCAACTAAGATTCAGACACTTCTTATAGTTACACATTATAAAATGTAAAAGGCGGTTAGTGAAAGGCTAGTGACAGCGTTTAGAAAAGCTCAGAAATCCTTTTATAATGGATTTGTGCGAACTGGTATCAAGGCTGTTAACAGCAGTGACTTAGAAGTACAGCTGCAGGTAGCAAAATAATAATGTTGAATAAAGCAATGAATATGAATTGGTTTACACCACAAAATCATTTTGAGAAGTAATTCACCCAAATATTGAATCTCTCTCCCCAAATTATTTTTTCTTATGTTAAACACATAAGCTGTTCTTATCAAGCTCCAAAACAGCACCACGAACGTATTCTGTATTCCACTATATTCCAAGCCTTCTGTCGTCACACATTGCTCTGTCAGAAAAAGTGTTAAACATTTTGCTTATTGGCTGAAAATCTTCTTAATCGTTGGACTCAAAGTTCATTCAAAACAAGACAAATGTGATAAATTATATTTGGCATCACTGGTCAATCACATACTATGGTATTTTTAAGGTGCTTTTATAGCTTTTTGTGTACTTTTTGGAGCTTGACAGAGAAGGGTCTGGCTGCAGCCTTGCGCTTGCACTCTTGCTTTTGTGTTGATTTATTTTGCAGGAAGAACTCGCAGCACAGAGAGGAAATAGTAATCATTCCAATATATATATATTTTTTTTTTGAATCTCAACATTTTACAACAGTATCCAGGTGGTGAAGACAAGAAAAAAATTAACAAAATTACAATGTCAGTTGCAATCGCCACCTGCACTCTCTATCTGCGACGTCACTTGCAATCGACACAAATCGTGCGTGTTGCCAATGGAGACAAGACGCTGTGGTGATTAAGCGATTAAAACTAATTTAGTACTATAGCATACAGGGTCCTGACTCCTGCAAGAAAAAGACAAGACCCGCAAATCCGTGGCCACAGAACAGCAGAATATGAACGCATATTCTTCACCACCTGGCTACTGTTGTAAAATGTTGAGCGATTCAAACAAAAAGTATTCAATAAATAGAACAAAATAAAAAATAATAAAGACTGCAAGTGACGTCGCTAGCGGAAGCGCAAGTGTCTGAGAGTGCAAGTCTGATAATGCAAGTCTGAGAGTGCAAGTGCAAGGCTGCAGCTAGACCCTCTTGGGCTTGACAGCACAAATCACTTTTATTATAAGGAAAAAAGAAGTTCGGGCATTTTGTAAAACATTTTATTTTGTGGGCCACAGAAAAACTGAAACAACATGAGGTAAGAAAATGATTAATACTCCTTTCTTAACTCAAGAATGGAGTATTCTCAAAACAAAAAAACTCAAACTTTAAGCAAGTTTGAACCCTTCTAATAAAGCAGAGGTGGACTTGACTGAATCACAAAGGCAGGCTCAGAACAGCAAGCTTGTTAAGTTATTTTCTGAGCGCGTCTCTCAAAATTCCTCTCATCTCTGTCCACAAAAAAAGCAGCATGGTTCATTTTGAATGGCAAGCTACTCGATTCGACTCTTCCCACACACACATACACCTGGAACAATGAAGCTTTGCTGCAACAACCAACCGGGTGTCCGAATTAAATAATGAAAGACAAAATTAAGCTCGGAAAATACAAATTTGGGGAAGCATTTTAAGTTATCAAGTGCTTTTGGATACAAGACTAATTGGGCAGCTTGATAACATGCACAGTAGTTAATTCACATAACATGTATAACATAATGTGGCATTTAAGATAAAACATGCAACTTTCACATCCATGCATAAAATACGTATAAAGCATCATAAAGTAATGCGGATTACCAGTAGTTGTGCGGAATCTCACTCAGATGATGCTGGGACAGGTGTAGTCTTCGAAGCCAGGTTGGCGTTTCTAATGTTGTTGGGCGAAATAGTGGTTAAAAAACGAACCGTTGTCTAGGTTTCTTGGTGAACTGTAGTGCAAATAAAGAAAATATTTTTGAGCTCTGTCCCCTCAGATGATGCAAGTGAGGAATGGATGCGGCCCGTTTCCTCTTTCAAAGAAACAAGCTGAGGCTATGGTACAGAACGCCCGCGTCACGTGATCACCACTCCTCACCGTCTCATAACACGCGGACAACACAATGAACACATTTTCCAATCTGATGAAGATTTTGATATATGCTCTGGGGTATATAAAAAATAAAAATAAATTTTATATATATATATATATATTATATGTATATACATATATATATTAGTCTTGTATATGCACATTTTAATTCTCATATTAATTGCGAGACTGCATTGAATATTTAAACTTTTAAAAATGTCACACTGCATTACTATTTTAGTGAAATAAATACATAAATAAATAATAAATAACTTGGTGACCAGTCACAGCATTTTTTTTAAATGCTGTTCATAAAATGTTATTCAGTTTCATATATGTATGATAGCCTACATTGTTTGCTAAAGACTGGATATTGCAAAAAAAATAAAAAAATCCTACTAAAACTAAAAACTACAAAAAATGAAACAGTTTTGCATTGAAATATTCAAAGTCAATGTGGCTTAACTAACATGCAGAAATCCATTTTGTTGTCTTTTGACAGTAAAAATTACCCCTTGAAGATTATTTGAAAATAATTTCCAGTGCAGTATTTGAGTAAATTTATTAAAAAAGGAAAATTCACTTAACTTAAAAAGGAAAGTATTTAAGTGTTTACTTGATGGTTACACCATTTGAGCTTTTCGTAAAAAGTAGTTAAATCTAAATTAATGCAGAAAATTGTACACATTTTTTTTTTTTAATATGAAACCAACATGAATGCAAAGATTGTATTAACATGGATTTTCAAGTGAATCCCAATAAATGAATTTACACAAAAACCATTAGCAATAGCTCACAATTCTCTCATTCTCCCAAACACAAGAACCATTTATAGTTCACTCTCATAGTCCCTAACACATTTTTTAACCCATGGGGAAACCACTCACTCTGATGTATAATTATGTTCTCACCAACTACTCGTGGTCCATCGAGCAACAGCTAAAAGGCTGTTAACTATACTGCACACAGAAACCCATTATTAACGGCATCGCCGCTGTCATCTCTGCCACAGCAGGTCGCTGCGTGTATGACACATTCTGAGCAATTTTTACACAGAAATGGTAGACCCTGTATTAGAAAGAATTTCCTGCTGACTGTCTCTTTGACTGTTAAATACATGCAAAAGAGCCTCCGGCAATGAAATCTCTGCTCATGTTGTGGCACCAATTAGTGAGCCTTACTGCCAGCCTAATTGAAGCATAATTACTAGGGTTGTTCGGTTCTGGGTAAATTTAAAACCAACAGAAGAGAAAAAGAGCAAAGGTGCATGCCATGAATACCATTTGCAAAGTCTACTCTAATGTGTGCACCATTGTCCAGTTGTGCAGCCAGCTCGAGAAAAATAGCACCACGGGTTTTGCCAAGAGACAGAACAAATCCAGGATTTTATTCTCAACTGGATCCCGCAGAGATATCTGCCCTGCAGCATCCTCCGCACCCGCATTTGTTAGTTTTCATTTCAAGCGTGTGTATTTTTAGTGTGTGTAGCTATATTGTGTATAGGTGTGTTGAGGATCAAACAAAGAGCTCAGAGCCTCCCCAAAATATCTGGTCGACCGATAAACCAACCATCCAACCAGCACCGAACAACTGCCAACAATAAAGACGCATGCTCTTTAACAATCTGTGAGCTTTCATGTATCTCTTTGGCAGTCTGCCACCTCCTGTGTGCTCCCACACACACACAGGTAAGTTTGGAGCAGTGTGTAGGCAGCCCGGTCCAGATTTCTAATCATAGTAAGATCTAGATCAATTGGTGCCTGCAAGATGGAGTTTGCAGCTCAGAGCAGCTCTAGGAAAACAAAGCAATGAATACACGCTGTGGAGAGGAGACTAGAGAAATAAATAGAGGCATAAGTGGGGAAATTCAGATCTATCTGTCAACAATCAATCACAACTCTGCAATGTGTATTATTGTACATAATAATATGTCAAGGGCAAACAAGACTGAAGCTTGTCACCCTGTCATAAGTCTACAACAACACTCAATGATTTCACATACTAGGGAACTTTCACAGAGCTTTGGCTATAATACTGGTTATCAGAACACATGAAAAGAATGTGGATTTTGAAGGCAATGAAATTATGGACCTGTGATGCTGCAGTTACTTTGCCAATTTGAAATTGCCAGAGTATTACAAATATCGTATATAACTGGAACATTTTTCGTTATTTTATAACCTTCTGAGGCTGTACTGGCAAATGTTGTTAGTTGGTAATAATGGTAATGATGAATCTGCGGGCACACAATGTTGAGGTTACGTTGCCAATTACCAAAGTGAACTGAAACATTCTTGGAGTTTGTGAATTGTGAGTTGGTAATTTGATAGCAATGAAATTATGAGCATGCAATGTAGTAGATGCGTTGCATAGTTACATTGTCAATTAAGTAATGAAATTACCAAAAAGTACCAATAAATTACACAACTGCTACATTGTGTGTTGTTATGAATAAACATCTTTTAGTAACATCAATAGAATGTTTGTTCAAAGTTGTCTGGTTTTTAATAACGCATGCAAAATATTTGCACAAATACGTCATATCAATCATGGATGTTTTTTCTCAAATGTTTTAGATGGACATTTGTCTCATGTTATTTTAAATGCTACTTACCACTTGTTTTAGAGAACACTCAAAGGTAAGATCCTTCATAATGTTAGCAAAATGATAAAATGAAACATTCCCTTAATGTTTTCTCTAGTGTTTGCATAAACAAGAAATAAAAAAATGGACTTTTTGAATGTGCAGAGAACATTCAGAAAAAAATACTTTTAATAGCTTAATGGGAACATTATAAAAACGTTGTTAGAACATATTTCTGTTAGCTGGGATGCTAGCAGCAACACCAAGGCCATGGGTTTGATTGCCAGGGAATGCATGCACTGATTCCCAGTACTTCGAATGCAATGTATCACTTTGGATTTTAAAAAGTCTGCTAAATATTAAAAAATAATAATAATTTCGTAATTGATGCGCATGATTGACCAGGACAACAAATCAGGAGTCTTTAAATGTGCACAGAGAGAAAATCGTCTGCTTTCCAGTGTGCACTTGACCTTAACTAGAGATGGTTGCTTGGGCGTTGCTATATGCAGCTGCTAATGTGTTTGAGTTGTTTTTATCATGTTTATATGTGGTAGCTAGTCTATTCTGTTTTGATTGTTACTCTTAGAGAGACCTCCTCCTGCTCTCTCTTATAGATCCTTCATCCGGAGTCTGGTATTTTTTCACTTTTTTTTTGTCAGTCAAAATGGCCAGTCTGATTGCTTTCGAAAGTAACAATACCTTTCTCCTCAACAAACCATATAATTTAGCACCTCATTCATGTCTGTAGCACAAACGGTGAATGAAAGGTAAGTTCCACAGTGAAATACTTTGATTTAATCAATACATAGGCATTGACACTCTATTCCTTCTCAGCTAAAGCATGTGCATGTGAAGCATATGGTGGGAACTGTGTGGAAGCACAAATGATAGCATTTGACACTGTGTAAAATCCATGAGCTACCTTTACTTTCTCATCTTATTTCATACAATCTGGAGGTAGTTAAATTGTCCACAGGCTCTAGAGAGCACACACACTATACAGTGACTCAGAATGCACTGCAGGAACATAAGAGCCCACTTTAGTTTCAAAATTAGATAATTGGGCCAGTGAAAAAAGCTCCAGTAGAGGTAATGACCTTAAGTCCCAGAGCATGGTCACATCAGCGTGCAATAATCGAGGGGATGCACTATAGTCATTGTGACCTTAATCTACACAAAGCCTGCTTGTTAGTGGAGCTGTTACTGAACAGACAGACAGAGTGTGAGTGAGAGAGAGAGGGGCACATAATGATGTCTCTGTGAGTCACACTACTAGGATGTTGTCTTAACCTTTTGACAAAGAATCATCAATGGTTCCAACAGGAATAGTGCAGTAAGCATTCAGAATGACTCTTTTGAGAAAATAGGGATGGGAATCTTTCCGTTTGCATTAAAGATTTTTTTTGTAAGGAATAAATATTTGGAAAAATTCCATTGCCAAATGGTGAGATATTTATTTTAATAATAAAAACATTTTAAAAATTCTTGCAAAAGTTGTTTACACAGATTTTTATAGACAGTCTTTTTAGAGAGAGAGCATACATTTAACTATATATTAAAAATGCTAAATACACAACAATGTGATAACATATTTTATTAATTTTGCTTTTATAAAGTACTTCTGACAAAACTGCTTCTTTAACTACATGTCGCCATATGAACAAAAATGAGGGCTCACAATTAGATATTATCTGTATGAGTTAGATTCACTAAAAAGAATTGAGTCATTAGAGTAATTTCTTCGACTACACTGGTTGCGTTCCATAGTGTGTCGCATGTTTTAGATTCACTAAAACGAACCGGCTAATAAGTTTGTCATTTGTTTGGGAGTTTGAATACACCGTTTGCGCTGAATGTTTTTGATTTACTAAAAAAATCACCTTAGAAGAGTCATTCATTCGATGTTTTTGATTCAGCAAAAATAACCGGCTCGTAAAAATTGCACATTTATCGCGCTGTAGATTCCGAATTAGAGCAGAAATAAGTAGTACAGTGTTTCTTCTGCATCAGAGGAAGAACACACGTGAAAAAAACTTTAACGAAATTAGAAATGGAACCGCAAAAGTGGCCAGTTTCCGTCACACTACTTTTGAAAAAAACTCCACGATTCATACGACACGCATAAAGATTGGCTTTAGCATGTTTCTAAGCTGTTACATAATATAAATACTGTATACATTTTATTTATATATTTGAACTTATTGCAGTGCATTCTGGGACTTGCCTTTGTTGCAAATCTACAAACATATGATGCCTTACAATGTCATGCAGCTCACAAATTTTTTTAGAAAAAAATCCAAACGTGTAAGATAAATTCACATTATAACTTCAGACATCAGGACCACTAGCAACTTGAAATCTACTTCAGAACCTTCTTTAGAGCACTCAGTCCACGTCTTTTCCTGGGTCTCTTGCATCACATTTTATCTCCCTTATGTTATTCTATTAGCATATTCTTAGTTTTTGATCTTGCATCCGCTTCTTCGCTTTTTTACATAATGTACAATGAAATACCTGCTGAATAATCATTTGAGAGGATTTTGAGGTTGGTGGGGGCTGTTTCAAGCTGGGTTAGAGCCCTGTGGAAAGAGACATCAGTGTTTGTGAAGTGTCTGAAGTGGGCAGCACTTCGATGGAGATAAAAAAAAATAAAAAAATTTAAAAACCCTGCACTCCTGCAGGGGGATAAAGTGCAGAGATAAATTTTACACACACAGACAGCCTGACAGTGTGGGAGAGAGCTGCTTTCTCTGGCGGAAATCGAGGGGTTATGACGTCATTGGCAGACGACACAATGACACTATAGACACGGTCCGTGTCACTAGTTAAAATTGCTTATTTCTCTGGATTTAAACATTCTTCGAAACATTTGGGATAATGTAAGTACACAAGTAAGCAAAATATAGAACACTGTTCTAGTGGTTTTTGGATATTTTAATAAAAAAATCTTACATATTGTGCCTTTAACCCTACTGATCGATACAATCTGATCTACTGAACCGTAGAGTTTTAAGGGGAGGGCAGGATATATATGTGTGCAGTTCTTGTCCATGCAATGATAGAAGTGAGATGAAAAAAATTGATAAAAATGCAATAAGTCTTTGTCACTCTTGAATCATAATTAAACTGACTACAAAAACGCATAATTATGGGCTGATTTAAACTAAAAGGTCGAAAGGCTTTTGTGTGTGTAAGTGAGTGTTTGTACATGTTGAATGACAGGAGCATAAACAAATGGACAGATGAATCAGAAAGACAGACTCCGTTTAGCACACTCTCGTCTCCATGGAAACGACAGGATAACATAACGAGAAAGCTGTTAACAAGCTATGGTGTTTTGTCCAAACAATCTATAACTTTTTCAGACTTGGATAAACAAGAAAGAACTTGATTTCCATCTTAGTTATAACAAATAAATGTAAGCAATTTAAATTTAAATAAAATAATAAAAAAACGAACAAATTATTTTAAATGTTACATTTTTAAAAAATAATTATAAAAATGATACAAAGTAGCATCTAGCTATGATCAAATAAATTTAAAATAATTTAAATGTAAATAAAATGATTTAAAATACAATCACTGAAATAATTTTTTCCATCATAATTTACATTTTACTACTACTACTAATAAATAACAATGATAGCAATAATAATAATAATGCACAATATTTAAAAAAAAATATGTAAGAAATAATGGGGAAAGTAATTAATCAATAAAAATATTTAACTGAAAACCTAATAATGGTAGTCTAAATTAAATCTAAATTAACAGGTTTTATTTGAAATAAAATATAATTTAGCATCACTGAATCAAACTAAACACTTTAATTTATACCAACAAAACTACTTTTTAAGGGTTAAGTCCAATAAAAATGTCTCTTTACATTTTTACACACATAATAGTACGTCATAACATAACATAACTAAATCAGGATGAACAAAACATGATTTAAAATACACTGCAGCAAGTTTAGTGCTTTTCATATCAATTATATCAAAGTAAAGCAAAGTTTTCACATTATTCTGTATTACAAATTCTATTCACATACACAAGTGGTTTCCAGACAGCATCATCATCATTACAAGCCGACGAAAAATG